ACCCTTGTGCACAAGTGCGCTCGGGTATAAAAATTTATAAACCACGTTAGTAGTAGTAGTAGAATTAAACTTAAGTAGTAAGTAAAAAACAAAAGTGCGTTCTGCTTAAAAGTAAAAATATTAGTTCACTTTGTCTTACTTGTCTAAATTTAAGCATATTGATTTTTAAGTAAATTCAGTTCTTTTTAAGCTTATATGTATATGAAGAACTTCGAAAGTTTGTGTCGTACTTAAATAACATATAGAGTCAGTCAATAAAGTTTAGGTACAGCGAAGTTTTTACAATACCGGCAACTATTTTTTAAATATTTTATTTTCCCCTAATTTTTTATACGCTATGGTTAGTTCTACACCAAAAACCCCAAAAATCAGAGTTCCAAACCTTATGCAAAATTAAAGAAAATTCCCCAAATTTCCATCCAAATATTGCAATTTACAATCTTTAGAAAAAAGTTATGTACGCAGTTTTTTAGCCCATTCAATTTTAGTATAACAAAGTGCAAGTTTGGGGTAGCTAGGACCAGTGTACGAAAATAAACTATATTGTACAGTGCTATTTCGTTTCGATTACTTCAACAGTTCGGTACAATACGAAAACAAAACGGCTGAGTTCACTTTGCGATAGTACACTACAGTAGTTTAGTAGTTAGAGACGAAACAACAAACGAAATGAATCATGCAGAGAAAAATATATGTATGTATGTAGTACATGTTTTTTAATTGAATTGGATATGAAAATTGACAAAAAAAAATATTTTTCACGTAACTGAAACGTTTGCATACATATAAAACGTACGCTATGGTACAATTGTCACAAACGAAAAGCAAACGTTTCTCGTTGGGGAAAATGACAGTGAATCTTACAATTTGTTTCTGACTATGTACAAAACTGTACAAAACCACAAATGATATGATGATGGATGAGCAAATGGGAATTGTTTTGTACAGTTTATTTTCGTACCCTGGGTAGGACTTACCATTGATATTTAGCAATTTTTTTTTTTGTTGTTTGGTAAGTCCTAGCTGTCATTATACTAAAATTGAATGGGCTAAAAAACTGCAAACTCAACTTTTTCTAGAGAAAGTGAATTATTTTAATGAAATTTTGCAGAATTTTCCTAAATTTTGCACAAGGTTTGGAACTCTGGTTTTTGGGAATTTTTTTTTAGAATTGACCATATTTTTATAAAAAATTACCGAAAACTAAAATATTTAAAAAATAGTTGCCCGTATTGTAAAAAATTCGTTGTACCTAAACTTTATTGACTGACTGTATTAAGGTAGCTGTGCTGGATTGCATAAAAAAAATAATAATTTGTCTTTTCTTAAAAAAAGGTAGCTATGGTGGCTTGCATTTTTAAATAAATTTAGTGAGAAAGTGGTAATTATTTTGACACTTTTTTTTTAGATGCCTTTTTTCAGCAACTGCTTTGCCTTTATCAATCGTCCTTCAGGATCTTGGCCTTTGTTTATGGAACCACTAAGTATAATGATTATTAAGCATCTCAAAAACTATACCAGCGTGATTACCGACGTATCCTTTTGAGAGGTAGCCGCACCCGAATAAGACCCAAATTTTTCAGGTCTAAATTTCAGTAGGATGCGTCTGTATGGCCTTTTCAAGTTTATAAATTATCATTATTTTTAAGTGGAAAAATAAAACTCAAAATTAATGATAATCTCTGCGCAAAAAAAATCATAAAATAATAATTATTTGTAATCCCAAGAATAAAAATCAAATAATAATTATTTCCGTTTGAGCGAAAAAACAAAACTCAATAATAATTCATAAAATAATGATTAAATGCTGATTTAAATTATTTTACTCATAATGATTACCTTCCCTGCTTTCAAAATTTGAAATAAAATAGTTTAGTAAAAGTACCACATTTCACTGCTTTTGGACTGGTGCGGTACTAGTTACTATCGGACTGGTTCGTTTTTGGCGAAAAAGAACTAGTACTGAACTAGAAATTTGGTTCACTAGTTCGTGTTTTCCGTACAGGGTATGCCTGCATACCAACTTTCAAGTTCATGTGACTTATGGTTCTGAAGTTACAGCTGATAAAAAATTTTACGCCTATGGGAGGTGCCGCGCCCCCTTGTCGAATCCCAATTTTTTTCTCCCTATTATAGGCCCAGGTGTCATGGCAATACNTAGGGCCAGGTGTCATGGCAATACTCTGTCAAAATTTCGTTCGATTCTGTCCGTCCGTTTAGGCTGCAACCTGGCACATACATACATACATACTAGGGATGATGCGAATGTGGAATTTTAGACATCCGCGGATGCGAATGCGGATGCGGATGTTCAATAGCTAACACCCGCGGATGCGGATGCGAATGCGGATGTACTGTATTTTTAAGAAATAATTTAGGTGGGTAAATTAGGTGATTTAGGTAAATAAGGGTTTTGCCCGAAAAAAAAATTCACCCGAACATTTGTATTCCGCCCATAGTAAATATGTACATGAAAAAAAAAAGTGAAGAGTAAACCGGTTCGGGGAAAATTAAACTCATAATAAGACTGAATGTTTTTTTAGTACTTGAATTTAAAAATTGGAACATTGTACTTAATAAAAACTTTTTGAAGGGTCGTAAATCAAACCTGCGCCACTAAATAATTACTCGCTCGCTGCGAAAAACTTGAAAAACTGGAAACTTGGCAAAATTGTAAATTCTTTTCGATTGACAATGCACCAGTTGAGAGGACTTTCAGTTATATTTATTTATTTTTATTGCGGTGCAATAATTACTTTTTGAGAATTTCATCGGGGCTGCAAATGTTGGATGTATCCTCCTGACTTTCATCTTTCATGTAGCATCATGGCACAATCGTTGTTTAAACACCGTTTTTTTCGAAAGAATTCTTCATTCTCATTCTTTTGATTGTTTCGGAATTTGTCACGTCATCACCGTTTTTCGATTTTAGTTTTTGTAACTCATTTTTAATGCTTTCTTCTGTGACTGGTTAGATATACGTCTATGCACTTGCACAATATTCCAGGGACCGAAAATAACAGTTATTTTTTACCGAGTTAAATTTGGTCTAATATTTTTTTATTCCGAAATAAACTTCCTATCCGGATAATAAAGAAATAGCTTATCCAAATTAAACAAATTTGGTATCATATGAAAGGGGACTGAAATAGCTTTTAAACAGAAATAACGAATGAAGGTTACCACCTCTATTTTTATTTTTTTATAACTTAATGCTAAAGAAATCCATGTAAATACTTACCTGACCCAATGTGTGTTCTATGGTAATTAACATTTTTATTGAAATATTTTTCAATGTGTGGCTTTCCTCTTTTAGACATTTCAGCTTTAAAGCTATTTAAGTACTCTTTCATTGGATACCAAACTTGTTTAATTTGGATAAGCGGTTTGTTTATTATCCGGAAAAGACTTCTATTTCGGAATAACAAATATTTGGCCAAGTTTAACTCGTAAAAAATAATTATAAATTTCGGTCCCTTCAATATTCCCATTCGCAAAAGATCCGCATTGATTTTTGCGAAGGCGAAAGCCAATGCGAATGTTAAAATTAATGCGGAAGCTACGCGGTTGCGAATGCGAATGCGAATATATAGTAGATATCTATCATTCCCTTAGCGTAAAATAATTTATGGGCATATCTCGGCCATAGCGAAAACCTGTCGCGTAAGTTTTAAGCGCAAATATTTCTGTTCAATTGGCTAATATTCTAAATATGAACCAGAATGGCAAGAAAATGCAATTTTTAGGAATATCCCGACGATAGCGCCACCCAGCGAGTGCATTTTTTGTCAGAACATTTATTTTCTAAGTGCTGACACATGTTGCAAATATAAACCAAATCGGGCTAGCCGTTTAGTAGTTTAGTGACATTTAATGTACAGAAAACTCTATAAAATTGTGAAATCGTGACGTCTCAGCATTCTTCATTTTTCGGCAACAGCAAAAAAGTTTCAAAATTTTTTAAATCGAAAAACCTTCCACAAAGAAGTGCCAAAATAGTACTTTTGGAGAAAAATAAAACATTTAGTTGATTGTTTGTATTTTCGTCGATTTTAAATTTGCTACCCCAAAATAATTGATATCAAATAAAATACCTCTTTGAGGTAAAATTTTCGAGTGACGAAAGCTGAGCTAGAAACACAAAATTTATGATATCAATTTCGTGACGAAAATTATACGCATTTTTTAACTGCCTTTGAAACGTACGGAAAATCTTTTTTTATTTATTCGAAACGTTGCGAATTTCCGTTTACTGCTAGAAACACAATTAAAACAAAACAGAACTTTTGCAACGATTTGTATGAATAAAAAAGATTTTCCGTACGCTTGAAAGGCAGTTAAAAAATGCGTATAATTTTCGTCACTTAATTGATATCATAAATTTTGTGTTTCTAGCTCAGCTTTCGTCACTCGAAAATTTTACCTCAAAGAGGTATTTTATTTGATATATACTCTACTGTAAGCACCTAACATATAGTATATGACAGCATACCAAATTTCAAGTTCATGTGACTTATAGTTTCAAGCAGCAAGTAAATGCAATTGTTATAAATATCCCGACACCAGCGCACCTAGCGATTAAATTTTTAGTCGAAATATTTCCCTTTAAGGGGCTGAAATATGTTCCAAATATGAACGAAATCGGTCCAGCCGTTAGTAGTTTAGTGACATTCAATATACGGAAAACTATAAAATTGTGAAATCGTGGCGTCTCAGCATTCTTAATTTTTCAGCAACAACAACAAAAAGTTTCAATTTTTGTTAAATCGAAAAACCTTCCACACAGAAGGTCCAAAAAAGTGCTTTTTACAGAATTGAAATCGGTTCAGCCGTTTGGTCAGGCATCCCCGTCATACGGAAAACACGTGATTTTGTTTGCCAGATATACGTTTTATAAGTGCACTTGCCCTACATTCGCACTCTCAAAAGCTTGCGAATGCGAAAGCGAATGCGAATATTAAAATTAATGCGGAAGCTTCGCGGTTGCGGAATTCTAGCACACAAAAAACGGTTAGACCGCGAAACAGCAGCCGTTGATAGAGTAAAACCAGAGTCATTACGTTACGTAGAACCGGCTGTCGTGGGAATGATGGGTGTCGTATAGTTATTATAGCATCTTATATTTAAATACTTTCATTAAAAATTACCTGTAAAGCACTAAACTGCAATTTCTCTTCATCTTGTGATTGACCAATCTGTGAAGTGAAGCCCAGCGGTTTTGAAAAAGATCCACACCATGTTGCAAATAAATTGAAAAGACTCCGCTTAAGCTCGCGTGTTAGAAGTGTGCCACATGACTCTACTAAAATGGATTACACAAAAAATACAAATTGGTGAATATAAAGCATGAAATTGTTTCCAATAGAGTAACTTACGCGAGAAATTCTTTATCATTTTGCGAATGAAATTACAAAAATGTGCTTTAACTTCCCGAATACTGGTATTGTCCTTATCAGTTTCAGCTAATAGATATTGAATAGCGCCTTCTATGTATTCCACAAATGTAGGATGTAATGACATCGTGTCACGTTCTAACACACAGGTACTGCGCGAATAAACCAAAATACATATATATTAGGGATGTTAATTTTTCCGCTTTTTACCATCCCGGGAGAAAATATGGAGAGTAAAAATATGGGTACCAAATGAAACAGGAAGTTTCTTTAGAATTTAAAAAAATTAAATTTTTTTGGATTCAAAAGGACGAATGGGTAGTTTTTTGAGCTGATAAAGTTAGACGGACGGAATTCGAGGATATCATCGACTTTATATATGCCCTTAATATATTATTTTTTCAAAAGCAAATATTGCGAAATTTCAATGATAAAATTTTAAAAAACATTTTCAATACTTACTAGTCCTTATATACCAAAAAATTTAATCTGATTAAATTCTGCAGAATTTCCTCTTTAATTTGATAGTACTACTACTTCTCTAAGCACATGTCACTGAATTTTTTAAATCAGTTTTAGGTTACTGACGTCAGAGTAAAAAACTAAAAAAGCAATTTTAGTTTATTTGGCCCATGGTATCGCGAATACTATATTGATGTTTGTGTGTAAAATTTACTATCGCACGGTGTTATGTGTATAATGAGCTAGACATTTATGAAAAATATTGATTATTAAATAAAAGAAAGAAATATAGCCAATACTGGTCAAGAAAATGAAGTTTATATTATTGCCATCAGTGCAATTTACAAATCCCGAAAATCCCGGGCTTCTTGGGACTTAATAAAAGACCGGGGTCCCGGGATCACTAATACATTCCTAATACATATACATATACATATGTAAGAGATTAGACGGCCAGAAAAAATTAAACGTGTTTCTTTTAGAGGAACGTAACTTTTTAGCAGTGATGGACATATTTGTGCTTACTAAATAATAAGTACGAAGGCAATTAGGTATTTATAGTACAAGGGCTGTCTGCTTAAATATTTTGGATTATACAAAATACCAACTATGTAGAATTTACTTATTTTCATAGCACAAGATACGAATGGCCTTATTCATAAAAAATAAAGTAGGTTTATAAAGCTTTATAAATTGACGTGTTCATAAATTTTTAAATTGATAAACCTTTTGTACACTGGTGGCAAAAAATAGCTTCTTAGCCATTATATGCACCCCATCGTTCATATCTCCAATTTGAATTAGGGATGTAAATTATGTTGAAAACATCGATATTTGAAGAATCGATGTTTCGAAAAATTGCATAGATGGTAGTTCGATGCTTCGAATGAAAACATCGATGTTTTAACCGATTTTTCTAATTTTTATTCAACCTGTGGGCTCATTCAAAAAGTTGAACTAACGAAAAAGATTACTGTCTTTTATTATTAACATATTGATTCAGAGAGGTGGTTTACAAAACAAATATAAAGTAAAAATTCAATCGCATACGTATATTTCTATTTCACTTTTCACAAATATTGTAAGGTAAGTTAAATAAAATTTCACTGAGCCCGCTACCAATTTATCAAAATACCTCCAGCACAAGCTTAGTTCGTTTATTACTCTAAAATATTAACATGAATTAGAATCTCTGTCATAATGCAGGTAACACACATATGTACGTTAAACTGGTCCAAAAATGTATGTAAAAAAATAAAGTCGGATTTTTAATGCCGCCACCCCCTAAGATTGTTATATACCAAAAAAAATATTACCCTTTTTTTATAAAAAATAATTGTAGGTAGTGCTCAAAGCGCTCAAAGTTTTCCATGTATTTTATATGGAGAAAAAACAACTTTTTGTAGAAATAGTGTAGTCTTCTTGAAAATCAATGTTTTTCGATCGGAAAACTTTACTTATCTTCAGGAGATTCTCAGTAATAATACTCAATTGTTTCTTCAACAGTTTTTTCATGGTAACTATAGGTTCTCCAAAACCCTTAGAAAATGCAATGGGGGGACCAATAAAAAATCTTTAATCTTAAAAAATGGTTAAATAAGCAACTGGACATTAATACTGGAAGTCTCCTGAAGAGAACCACAGTTTTCCGGTCGAAAAATATTGATTTTCAAGAGTTTTATACCTTTTCTACGAAAAAAGGTTTTTTCTAAAAAATGCATGGAAAACTTTGAGCGCTTTGAGCACTCCCTAAATATTTTTTGATTTCGACATAAAAAATAGGGGTATATTTTTTCGATATAGATCAATCCTAGGGTGTGCCGGCAATAAAACTCCGACTTTATTTTTTTTGGACCACTCTAATGTACATATTAGGGATGTTTCGAATGTCGAATGCGAATTTTCGTAATGCGAATGTGAATGCGAATGTTAGCAATAACATTAAACAAGGTATAACCAACTTAAGTCATCTATAAGCTATAACCAATTGAATGTGAAATAACACAAATTTGTTTTATTTCATTTCTCGTGGAGCAATAAGACCAACTTTTAAACTTAACAATTGAGTAATAAAGCAAAATAGTGCACATATGTAGGTAGTCGCCCAGTTACATTTGACAAAAAGTAGTACCTGAACAAGTTAAAGGGACGGATTTGTAAATATACAATTTTGAACGTGCCCAGCGTCGCGGCGGTCCGCGTTCGCGCGCCACCACGCGCCTCCCCGCCGGGCCGCGTCCGACGTCCGCGCCCCCTCCCCTTTTTGCAATTAAGCACTGCTGTCATTTTAACTTTTTAGAAAGAATAATAATAAAATGACACTAGTTTACTTCTGAAACTGCTTTTTAATGTCCAAGTAATGGGAATTATTGCGTATGGTGTTATCGAATGCACCCCACCCATGGTGGAATTATATGTACCAGGTGAAGTAATATTAGAGTGAGAAGAAATATTTTGACACTGTGTTATTTGAAAACATGCCTATAAATGTGACTATAAGACAGCCGAATGTCAGAAAATAAAGCGAGAAATCTGTTTTATTACTTCATCTGTTTATTGCGCCATTCATCCCACCTGCTTGTACCGAGTAAACGTTCAAATTTAGAAGTCAGAGAGTAGGTAAAATTTTACATTTTACATATTTTACTTCGTCTTCGTAAACGAAATCCACATTTGGGATATGGTGAAACCAGTGATGATAATGCAGAAATTTTAAATGCAGATAAAACTCAAAACAATATTCTCTGTGTTATATGATGCGAACAGGAACGGCAACTTTTGTTTGTTCCATGCCATGGAGGAATTATACCAGGTGAAGTAATTAGAGCGGGAAAAAATTTTTAAAAATTGCTTTTAAAATTTGACTATAAGGCAGCCGAATGCCAGAAAATAAAGCGAGAAAGCTGTTTTATTACTTCACCTGTTTATTAGGCCATGGTTCCATGCAAACATTTTAAGGTTTTCCAGCAATGTTTTCAACATTTCAAAAACATGCAGACAAAATTTCATACAAAAGCGCTATGTCCAATTTGTTGAGCAGTTATTAAAGACGACTCTTTTCCTATATTTTGTTAGAATTTTACTTTCTTCATATGAATTCTATCCCATTTTTTGTTTAATTGTATTTTCGGAATAAACAAAGTTCTTTTCCCTTCTGTCCGTAAACTGGTTTTGTTACAAATAGTATAAATAAGCAATGTGAAATAAGGCAAATTTTTTTTGGGTCATTGGTACAGCTTTCCGGCCGGTACATTAAAAGACAAACTGCGTTTCCTCTTCCTCCTACGCGTTTCGGCGTACTTCACGCCTTCATCAGGGAGTCTGATTTATTGTAAAAAACAAAACATAATACACACAACAATTAGACATAGTTACATATGACTGAAAAATATATGTATATACATATACATATACACATCTTTTTTATCACAATAGCACTTACGTATTATATTAGTATAACGATTTACATAACAATAAACGCAAAACATTGCACTGCACACTTTTATTTGACGTCACTGTCTTCGCTCATCTGATTTATTATTTTGTATTGCCGTCCGGTACGCACAATTTACATTGGCAAAGTCCTCTTTAAAGTTCATCGCGTCCCTTATCCTCTCCTGTATTCGCAGACTCTCCAAAGTTAATCTGGTTTTTTCTCGTTTTTCTACGTCCAAAAATATGGTGTTCTCAAAATCTGCTGTATGTTCGCTATTCGTCAAGTGCTGTGCAAGTGCTTTTGTTGTCTTCTTATTTTTCTCGTCTGCTTGGTGTTCACTAATTCTGACTCCAAGGGCTCGTTTAGTCGTGCCTATATATACTTAGTTGCAGTTTTCGTTGACTTTACCTTTGCATTGGATTTGATAGACCACATTATGCTGTTGTTGTTGGTTTATCTCGTCTTTTGTTTTGGTGAATACAGTATACTTTACTTAGCTGTCCATCCTTCTTTGCACGAAAAACTTGTGCACTTAGCCGAAAAAAGCACTTAAGCGAATTTTCTTACTACTTCAATGAGGAAGGTATCCGAATCCCTATGAAACCAAATAGTGGAGTAGCACTTATATATAGATTGGCGCTTACACATATGTTAGTGTTTGGCCGAGCTTCTCCTCCGATTTGTGGCGTGCGCCTTGATTTTGTCACACAAAGTGGAGGGACCTACAGTTTTACGCCGACTCCGAACGGCGATTGCATTTTTATGAGAAGCTGTTTTTCATGGCAGAAATACACTCGGAGGTTTGCCATTGCCTGCCGAGGGGTGGCACTTACCACGTAGAAATTACCGCAATCGAAATTTATTTCCTAATGGTATCTAATTATGTATATAGCTACGTCAACCCCCACATCGATGCTAATATAGTCAAAGATATCACACAAAAATGTTGGTCCCGATCGGAGACGGTTAAGGCGTGTCGCACAGAGGTCAAAGTTCAGATTCCTCTATGGAGACTCAAAAAATTCAAACTAATATTTTTTGCAACTAATACCCAAAATCGATACATATAAATTTTGGTCCCGATTTGAGTAGGGTAAGGCGTATCGCACAGGGGTCAAAGTTCAGATTCCTCTATGGAGACTCAAAATAGGGGAGTCTGAACTTTGCCCCCTGTGCAATACGCCTTAACCGACTCCAATCGGGATCAAAATTTATACGTGATATCTGCGCCTACAGTAGTATCGATTTTGGGTA